CATCGTAAAGGGATGAAGATAGAAAAAGCACAAAAAGGGACAAGGTATCATGACATATATTTAGAAAAAGAAAATGAAAGAGGTGTACTGTTATAATCTGTGCAAGGCTGAAAAAATTATATACTATATACAACGTTTGTATATCTCTATTATAAAGCTTCGCCTTAACTTTGGGTTTTTCTTTCTGACCATTCGACGTACTCCAGATAGTTTTGCTCTAGCCCGTCCTAATTCATATCTCAAGCCAAGTGCTGCTACCGTCTGTAGACCTGTATTTCAAGCCACTTGCTGCCACTATTAGAAGTATCTTCTTTCTTATTAGGGGTTTCTTATCCAGGGCCCGATCCTGTATAGAGGCGCCGTATTCATAAAACACGTGGTTGCAGTCTAAAGCATGGTGGACAAACCCGAATTTGGATGATCGACATTGTGGCTTAGCCAATTTAATAAAAATTTTTTTTGATTTTTTATATAGTTTAAAGTACTTTGTATTCTCGTGATTTTTCAAAACTTACCAATTAAGCTTACTTTAAAAAAAAAGCTAGCGAAAGTTCTTTGCCTGCCCTGTCTTATATTAAAATTAATCCCAAATAATTCTACTAGTTAAAAAGTTTTATTAGAGACGAAGTTTATAAGAGATCTAGAATAGTTAAGCCTATAATTCAAGTATACAAAGGTATTTTAGTGTTAAAACCAAAGACAAACGATGCAAAACTAAGATCTAGTACTTTTTAAAGAACACCAAAACAAGTTTGAAATAGTGTTTATATGAAAAGCAGAGTAAAAAAGATAAGTTAACTCGTTTTTATATACTTTAAATCTAAAGCTATACATATTACAAATAAACTTGTTATTTTATAAGTGAAATTTTAATTATTTTAACTATTACTATTTAAAATGCAAATAGAAACAATTTAGAAACGATTTAGCAAAGTATATTTATTGAACAAATTAAGTAGAAATAATTTATACGTATTTAAAAATAAGAAATGTCTAAGCAAATAAGAGAATGTAATATCATTAATAGTTCATGTTCTAGTGGATAGAATTTGACGAAACTTATACCATTCGATTCGTCTCATTAAGACGAATCGAATGGTACAAGTTTCGACAAATTCTAACTTCTGGATCGTGAAATATCTTTGAGTTAGTAAATAAAGATTTTTCGAACGTTATTGTAATTTTATAAAAATTGATTGGCCAGTTATCACGTGTATGAATATGACCAATCGTTTAATTTCATGTGATTGATCATCATTGAACTTTTATTGAACAGATCGGTCCTGAGTTACGATTTTCAGATCTGGAAGCTTGTATAACATAGGTTGTCCACCATGCTGCAGTCTAATAGACTATCTGAATTTGGAATGTAAACAATGCCGATCTTTTGGAGGGAGTAAGCCAAATCTTCACTTTTTTTGAAAAAATTTTGGAAAACTGGCGGGAGAGTGGAAGTGAGTAAGAAAGGAGCCACTTGTTCGAATAAAAGAGTGTGGCTTGAGAATAGCAAGTTCTTCACTGTTCTCTAGTTATTTCGCAACAGGTTGCTTCGTCGACAGAGAAACACTATAATCCCCACCAAAATTTCATATACAAGAGCACACTTCCCCAGCCAGTTATCTTGTATAAAGACGCTTTCGGCTTGCATGTTGAATATATAAAGGAGTCCCTACAAGTAAACAAAAGGTTGGCCTTTATAAAAACCACACTGTTGTCTACCTACTACAGGTCTTTTCTACTTCTCCAGTGTTTAAACTTGACTTTTCTTTCATAGGAAATTTTGGTTCAAGTGATTGTCAGGAAGAGTTGTCAAAGCCAAAATATTTAATTAGTTCGAAACAATAAAATATTATATTTAGTTTTTTAAATCTAGTTGTATACAATAAAATAATATTAAACATTTAAAAAAAATCAATCTTTTAATTAATAAATCAATAAATGTCGAATACATACTACAGTATAAAACAAGTTTTTTAATACTGTATATACCCTATAGTTTGCTATAGATCTACCAAATACCTGCTATATATTAGTAGTATATTAGCAGCATATTGGTAAAATATTGGAAAGCAAATCTTACTTTTAGACCCAGAGTGCCAAAAGTAAAATATTAAAGTATTTCAATATTATACTTATACTGTTATGTTACTATCTTCTAATATTTTACCAACATACTGCTAATATATTTGGCAAGTTTATATATCAAGATATTTATAAAAATATAGTAATTATTATGTAATGCGAATGTATAAATAAGTAAGTAAAAAAACCAAGTAATAACCAAATAAAGTTTTATCCTTGCTTATCCAATTTTGTCATTTACTTTATTCTTAATAAACAAACAATTAAACGAATATTTGATCCACATATTCAGTATACTCTAACATATATTGCCTAACCCTGTAGTATAGCTGTTCTGAAACTCTTTCACATCACTTGCACGTTCGTTGGTCATATGGCACCAAATTCTATGAAACAATTGACTCACCATTTTAGAGTCTTCAATATATTCAAATATAACTATATAATAAAGTGGCGATTGACTGGCATATGAAGAAATTGTTAAAAAGGATAAACATAAAGCTTCGGAACCCTACTAGTATTATTATTAGTTTGAAAGATTCTCTAATTTGCATATTGTTAAAAATTCATAATTGAATAAGAAAAATTTTTATTGATGTAATTGTGACATAGATTATTCTGTAATTGTAAAATTATATGTTATAAAATTCATAAACGATTCTATTGTATAATCAGTATACAATTCTTATATAAAAACCAAATCTATATTACTATTAAAATATAAAAGTGTTAGCCAAATATTCATTTGTGCTATTAAAACATGGCACTATATGAACTAATTCTATTAGAGATTCTACTGGAATAAAAGTGTAAATATTTGTAAGTTGTATCCATGGACAGCAATGTTTTTTCAACTTATTCAGATCTTTGAAATCGTACCAACAAACAAGCGCCAAGTTAAATGGGGTTTCTAATTCTGAAACACTTATTGAGCAAAGAATTAGGGCCTAATACAATAGTATAAATAGTAGGTTAATGTCAAATTTTGCTGTATAAAAATATAATAATTAAATACCTTCGCAAAACATGTACTATTATCGGTGTTGTATTGATTCACTTTTTCGGTATTCATATAAAACATTATCAAACTGTATATTATTGTAATAGTCAGACATTGCCCAAATTATATATCTACTTGAACTTATAGCTAAATTGTACCAATCAACAATTATTGATCTATCTCGTAAATTTCCACTAGTTAAATTTTCACAAAGATTTAAAAATTCGTGCAATGCTGGTAGAAAATAATCTAAAGCCTCCGAAACCTCAAAAGCTAGATGACATGTTGTCTTGTATGAGTTTACAAACTCTTCAAATAATGATAATTCAAATTTTGCATGATTTCCGGCTAATAAATACCAAGGCAATTTGTTGCTGCTTATTTTGTTGATTTCTTTAGTTGATTCAAGTATTTAAGAATGCTTTGACATTGTACCTACATAGCAAAGTATATATCTTTATTTTTTATTTTTTTTTTGTAAATTATTTATAAATGCAAATTAAAAAATAAACTATTTACATTTTTTAATATTTGATCAACTGGTGTCTACTTATTACTCATTTGATAGGGATTTTTGACACATACTTTGTGCAAGGATTCATATGTTTCAGTGAAGAATCCATTAATCACACTATATTCTTTGATTGAAGGAATTACATGATATATCAAATTATGCAACTTCAGAAGCTATAAATTGGACTTAAAGTATGATGAAAAAAGGTTAGTAAACCCTTCAGCCCATCTCGTAATTAATAACTATATATATATAAAGTATATAATATGTTTTAAGTAATTAGTATAGCTATATATAAATATTTAACTTAAAGTGAATACGACATACTTTAAATATATGTAATTCTGATTCGCTAAATTTATCTTTCTGTGAAAAAATATACATTTGATTCCAATTAACATATAAAGTTACTAGTTGTTTATCCATTTGTTTAGTCTGATTTGTAGTATAGATATTTTTATAAAACTTTATAATTATTCTATCAATTACAAAGACTAGTTGTTGCATCATTGCCGATACTCTGCTGCAGTGAACTATTTAATGTTGACTAAACCTTTTTTAAACAATTTGAGACCCGGGAATCAGAAAATTTTTGCTAATCTGTAATCAAATTCAATAATTTCCGCTGGACCACAACATTCTTTCAACAGGTCTTGTGTAAATACTACTTGATAATTGTATAAACCTAAATCGAGATAGTGCATCCGGTCAGATGAGTATGATTGATAAATATTAAAATTTCTAAAAAGGTATATATATATACAATATATATTATATTATTACATAGACATTATTATTTTATTCAAACTAAAATTATAAGTTATAGTATACAGTTTTAATAATAGCAATACTTACGGAAGACTCCAAAAAGAATTTTCCATATTATGTATTGAATACTCTTTGGCCTGACATTGCTCAATTATCTGTTTCATTGTTTTTGGAGTACGTAAAGTAATGGATTTGTAATTGATCAATGGATTATTAAATTCTTCTTTAGAGGTTAAACAAAAGTGGCATAGTATATTGCAGTTTACAGAGTTGTATATTAATATCATAGTCGAATATTCAGGTAGATTGTCTAGCATTTGCGACAAAAATGAATAACACCAAAATAGGCCACTATCTGTATGTAATTCAATTCTATTTATAGATTTTGACTTAATTGGTTTAGTAAGAATCTCCATTGAGCAATGAAAAAGCTGACATTTGAACGAGGTAAACTGGGGCATTTTCTTTTGATCATCAGAACCTTTGAACTTCGGTAAATATGCTAACAATGCTTTAGCATCAGGTTTATTGTGGCGCCAGATAGGTACACAGGATATTCAGATGTTTTTTCTAATATATTACATGTCATGGCATCTGAGTAAAGGATAATTGAAATAACTTTTGCGCTTTTGTTAATCAATGCTTGAGCCCAACTCCACCATATTGTTCCCTATAGCAATGTTTTAATTCACCCTTGTCATTAGTAATTAATCTTGGAGTATAATTAAACGTGCAATATTTGAATATTTCAGGATTGCTTAATAGTTCTTTGATTGCATCAAAAATTGGTCTGTGATGTAATATATATTTGGTGTTATTATACTCCATTATCACTGTCTTGGTATATAATATGTGTAGAATATTTATTGAATCTAGTAATGTATGACCTTACTTCATACTGGTAGATAGAACTACATTTGGATCCATTTTGTAATTATTAAACCAACCAATTAGTTCATTACCTGTGCTATCTGGAAGATGATATTTCATTACTATTTTTATAAACTGTGCATATGCTAGATGCGGAAATGTTGGAGGTCGATATATAGTAGTTGAACACAAACGCTATACAGAGTGTATATCAATTATAGAAAAACTTTCATTAATATTGGTTTGGCATAATTCATTCATCTGTTATATAGAATTTGTGTAATTAGATAAGAATAAGTACTAAATAAGTATATAAATCTTCTGACAAAGAACAATTCTAATATAGAATACTTTAAATACTTGAAAAAAAAACCAAAACTAAAGTAAACTATCTGAGTTTCAAAAAAAAAACTTTATAATTGAGTCTGTTGACCCCACCGTAGCCGCAAAATAAAAAAAAATGAAGCGAATGAAGCGAATTTAGAAGCTTGGAATAGATACTCTTAAAAAATTTTTAATATTAACAAACAATTATATGTAATGTATAATAATGTACAATGACATATAATTGATATATTTAAAATATTTGTACATAAATTAGGACTATTTTGGACTGTACAAACATATAACAATTGCAATTATAGGGATTGGACCCGTCCAAAAAAATCCAACCCGGGTCACCTGTCGGTTAATTGCTAACCTACCCGGGTAAGTACCCGGGTAAAGTATAGTTTACAAATAATACGATTTGATTGGTTGAGGCGTCATCACGTGACCAAGCACATAATGAATAGTGCCTGTCCGGACGAAATATAGAAAATATTTTTATTTGATTGGTTACCTTTTTTTACCCGGGTATCAAAATCTTTATCCGGTTACACGACCTACCCATGGGTAACCCGGGTGACCCGGATACGGGTCCAATCCTTATGCAATTATCTATATATGTATATTAAATTATTAATACCTCAAATGTTTCCATGTCTTCCTACCCTTGTTGAGTATATTCGATAGTAATTTCATTAGCTTCGTTAGCTTCATTGGCTTCGGTAGATTTATTAGCCTTATCAGTTTCTGTAGCTTCATTAGCTTCATTGGTTTCATTATAAAAAATGGCTAGTGGAGGTATTTGCTCTTTTGCAGACCGAATATCTGTTGAGATTGCATTTTCTCTTAAAAGTATCTCAAGTTGGTTTTCCTCTTCATAAATTATATCTTTATATTTAATTAAATGATTTTGATGACAGTTTCTTCGTGTAAAAGATTGGGAACAATAACGACATATTATAATGCTTTTTTTTCTCCTTCTGAACATTCATTTGCTCTGGTTCTTTTCTTTCCTTCTTTAACGTCCTTGAGCAGAGTAATAATACTGCATTAAAAAGAAAAAGAAAAATAAAAAAATAAGAATAAAAAAAAACAAAAATAAAAAAGTATTAAATCAACTGATTTTTAATTTATATCTATGTGGAGTTTTAATATTTTGCAATATAAATAGGCATTGTTATTTAAAAAAGACAATTTTATTTTTTTAGACCATTTTGTCATTTTACCACCCTCTTGATACTATGTGTCATAACAAGAAAAGAAATAAACCCAATGAGCCTCAGGAGGAGTTAGCAGATGATACCTTAGAAATACTTGCTCTATTATCAATACGTTCTTTATTTTCTTGCAGTTAATCATCACAGACTGACATATCTAATGTGAGTTTAGTCGACAATTTTTTAGCATAACATTTCTATCTAATAAATTTCATTATTATAGTCTTGTAATCAAATGTTGCAGCAGGAAAAAGCTCTACAAACTAGGGTATTTTTGGCATAATTTCATTAGTATGCTTATATTTGATGTTATATTTGACATATTTAATTCTTTTAGTCCTGTTATAAAGCATTTCATTCATTGCCATTACAAACACCTCAATCACAATTTAATAATTCACCAAAATCTCAAACCACTCATCTACCACAACTTCAATTAAAAGCTTAACAATTCTTTAATAGTAGGCGAAGTAATATATTTAAGGTATGTTACCTTCTTTAATACAATTTCTACTTAATTATTTATTCTATACTTAATTTTTAATATATTCAATTATTGTAGCCTTATGGCCAAACAAGAAGTCTCTCCCAATCTTTTGGTGAACGCAGCGATTTATCTAAAGTAATTTTAATCAATATATACAATATTTTTTTTTATTCAATATTTAAATTTTTAATTTATTATAAAACAGTAGATTAGAAAGCAGTTTGGTATATGAAAAACAATTGCAACAGTCATCTCACGAAAGTACAAAGCACTCATCTGAAAATATAGATAATAGTACCTAGGGGATAGTAAAATTAATAGGGGGCCAACTTAATATTACACAAGTAGATCATGTAGAAATTAGACAGACACTTATATTTAATTTATATTTAAATAATATAATGATAAAAAATTTCAAATTCTTTTAAATATAAAAAAAATTTATAAAGTTTCAATTATGACGTGTTAAAAAAAAATCAAACTTAATAAAATACAAATTATATTTTTATATAATTTTTTAAAAATATTATTTTTGAAGAGGTTTAGAAAAATTACATCAGCTTTTTGTTACTTTTAAATCGAAAAAAAGATATAAAAATGGTAAGAAATAAGTATAGCTATAAATATTTATTAAATATATTTTAATATATATATATATTAACTTTGAAAAAACATTTTTGTAAGAGTATATCTTTTCCTTCAAAGCGGCAAAAAAAAACTGAAGCACTTCAAGAACTTATTCAAATTCGTCATGAACTTAAAGGAAAACCAGTTTATTTCTTTCTAAAATTAGATAGATATTTTGAAGGTATATTAATGTTTGATGCAAAAGAACAAAGAACCTATATTTATAATTTAATAAATGATTGTAAATATGAAACATTTTCTAAGTGGATAAATGGATTGCAAAAACATGGATTATTCAAAGGACAACGATCAGCTCTTGCAACTGTTTTTTTAGAACCAAATCCTACCAGTTTACCAATTGCTTCAATTTTAGTACATCAGAATATATACCATATTGGAAATCGATAGCAAGTGCAGATATTTTTTTATATATGCAAAGTGAAATTAAGCCGGAAGGAAAATTTTCTAAAACCACAATACGATATTAAGACAAATATCTTGAAATTTATTTTTTTAAACAACAACTATTAGAAAAACAATTACTGATTAAAGCAAAAGGAATTTTAATCACATATAAGGTTTTTGTTTGTAATCAACTTGTAAAAGAAGAATATCTTCCTTTTCTAACTAAAGCAATTAAAAAAACTTATAACAAAGTAAAAAATTTTATCAAATATATATATAATTTAAATATTTGCCAAGGACAAAGTACTAAAGGTAAACATAGTAAAAATTTAACTATTTTATTTATTATATTATTGAATATATTTTTTTCGATATTAGGATTTGAAAATGTAACATATATTCATAGAACCTAATTGGTTAATAATAAACGGAATTCTCAAAAAGAACATATACCCTTTGCTTTTCTTGAAAAACAAGGCCAACCTGATGAAGCATATTGACGTATAGATTGCATACTTATTATAGAAAAAACAAAAAACAAAAATATTTGTGAAAATTGTGAAAAATTAAAAAAAACTATACAACAAATTCAACGACGAATTTTGGCTGAAGTAAATTCAGTAAAAACAATATATGCATCAAAGAAGATTTTTCAAGAAAAAGTTAATCAATAGCGAAAAACTATTAAAGAACAAACTAAAACAATTATCAATTTAAAAGATCAATTACAAAAAAAAATTGAAAAAGAAGAAGAGAAGGTGTCAAATAAAATTGCAAATATTGTTCATACAGTTACCAAAAGTGTAACAAATAAAACTACAAATATTGCAGACCTTCATTCTATTTTTCAAGAACTTATTCGAATTCAATGTACAAAACCGAATAGAACAAGATATCATCTGATGTAAGAGTTTAATGATATTAACAATTATATAATTATGAAAATTAACATTTTATTTTTTAGGTTTTTACGTTGAGCAATATCTGTATATAGCAAATCTGGACAGACAGCATATAATGCAATAAAAACTATTATGTGATTGCTATCAATTTCTACACTTAAAAAGTTATATTAATGAATATGAACAAAAATCAGGATGGCAAGACAAAATTGCCCAACAAATATTAGCTAGCTTGACAGCAAATAAAATTTGGGGATATGGACGAGTAGGATTTTTCTCTCATAATTCTTTTAAAATTCAAAAAGGTAATAAGTTTACATATATTTTAAATACATATATAAATTATTAAGTATTTGATTTTAAATAGATCTTCTTTGGAGTCAGCATGAAAATTGTTATGTTGGTTATTTAAATTTTGAAGATGAAATGCAAGATTATCAAACATTTGCAATACAGTGTCAACAAGAAATCGAATTATCAACAAAAAGTAATTTCTTATCTAATTCTATATCCGAAGAACCTAAACGTGAACTTGCAACTCAAGTTCATCAAGTCATTTGGCATTCAGCAACGTATAATTTTTCTTTTCCAATATCCTATTATGGTATTAATACAATGATAGCACACAATTTGAATACATTAATTTTTAGTTTGACGGCAAAATTAAAATGCCTTGGCATATATACCTATGGCTCAATTTGTGACGGTGCTGGAGAAAACAGAACTCATATTAAAAGTTTTGATTGGTATGCCTCAACCTGGTCATTAGGTGATATCGTAGAAGTTGATTTTAATAAAAAATTTTATTCTGCTGAAATTGTAAATTTTAATCATGATCGAACACAATTTTCTATGCATTATCTTAATTGTGGTAGTTCAAAAACAATTACAGTTGATCGAGCACTTATTCGTTCTCCGATGACTAAAAAATCAAAGTGGAATTTTAATGAAATATGTGAATTTAAAAATCCACAGGACAACCAATAGTATCCAGGAATAATTACCAACACTGATTCGGGTACACAAACATTGCAAGTAGAAATCTCAGGTGTTGTCAAAGGAATATCTATGTGGAAGATTACTGAAAAAGAAGC